CACTGTGTTTTGCATGTTGAATGTAATTTGTGTTCATACGTTGGCTAGACTGTCCCATAGGTCCTGGTTGCGTGCATTTTTGAAGCTGTATTTGCGGAGGTATCGCACTATCCCACTCTGAAACACATCATCTGTCAGAAAGTGTCGCAGCATGTGCAGGACACATGCTCCCTGGTGGGAGAGAGAGAAAGGGTCATTTTAATCAGTAAGCCACAACAGTCTATGCTATAGGTTGGTTTCAAAGCCATTTGTGAAACGTTTTCTGTTACAGTGTTAATATATCAATAGATCAATTAATAGTTCATCAATAGTTATGTAGTCATCCCATGTGTTTTATTTATCCCTGATTTTGCAGGTATTACATTTTCACAGATAATATATTCCTGATGATATGTCATTATCAGTTGTGTAGCCCTCTGTGTGACTGAAAGCATACTTTGTCATAGGAGACTGTGTCAAACATCTCTTTGATCTGAGTGGGGTTCTCTGCTGGACTGGATATTGGACGAGAGGAGTTCAGCGAATCATGACCAACTGCTGCAAAGCAGGTGTGCAGTAGATATTCCTCCTGCAAGATTGTACACAGAACATCATTATCAATCCTTGGGCCTAATGATTATATCAATCTATTACTCAATGATGTCTCAGATGAAATCACACACCACTTTGAGGTCAGGGTAGGTGGCCTCCACTGAAATGTACTCCATGTATCTGGCAAATCCTTCTTTCAGCCAGGTATCGTTCCACCACTCCATGGTCACCAAGTTACCAAACCACTGCAGACAAGATTTTGAATTTTACTGCTTTGTGTTGACTGTTGAATGTAATGCAGTAATTTATGAGCATCTGAACTACTGTAGATCAACAAACACTTAATCCTGTGTGTCATTATTGTGCAGATACACTGTGGCACTCTCACCTGATGGGCAAGCTCATGGCCGATCACCATAGTAATCCAGAGTTTATCGGAAACAGAGGATGTGAGGGGGTCAAAGAGAAGGCTGGTCTCTCTGTAGGTGGTCAGACCCCAGTTCTCCATCGCACCGGCCTCGAAGTCTGGGATGGCAATCAGATCTGAGGGAGGGAAAACTCAGGTCACAGAACTGAAAGTGACAAGATGAATGACAGAAATGTGGAGATAAAGAAATGCTCATAGGTTTAGTTACAGAACTAGAACAAAAAAAAAGGTTTTACCTTGTTTGGGTAGAGGATAGCGGATGTTGAAGTACTCCTCGTAAAAGTCCAGCATTTTGACGGCAACCTCCAGGGCATAGTGGGTCTGAGACCACTTCTCAGGGGCTGCATAGATGGACACCTATAGATGCATAACAATACATTAAAAATTACATGACAGAGAAAGTAATATTTTAACCAAGGAATTCAGAAAATCTGATAATGTTTTGGAGGCCTTACCTGCACTCCAGAGGATGTTGTTGCAGTGACCGATTTGAAATCACAGATGACAAACGCTACAAGGTAGGTGCTCATCTTCACGCTCGCAGCAAACCGGTCCTCGAGCAGGTCATTGTTTACTTCAAATGTCTTGACCTGAATTACACAAATATCTAATTGTAGCCATTTGATCACACACATTTGATCATGTATGATAGTTGATGTAGGAAATAGCACATATGCAACACTCACTATTGGCATGTTGGAGAGAGAAATGTATTCCTGGCTCCTCCTGATCCGCAAAGAGAAGTTGGCTTTGAAGATTGGCTCATCAAAACAAGGGAATGCCATCCGAGCACTCGTGGGCTCAAAGTGAGTTGAAGCCAAGGTTCTGCAAGGAGACATCAGCAGATACCTTTTGTACTTTATTGTAACTGTAACACATCGGTATGTGAATGTGTAAGAATCTATTCGCTCTTACCTGGTCTCTCCTGTGCTGGTTTTGTAGGTGCTCTTATAGAAGCCAGAGAAGCCTTCTACTAGTTCTGCCCCAAACTCAATATACAGAAAATACTTTTGCCCACTGGAGAGCACCCTGGGAGAGAAAATGCCAATCTGCTCATGCGAAGGGTTATGAAGAACTGGAAGAACCTACGAAGAGAAAATGAGATGCCACATTAATAAGAAATGGAGAGAAGTTGCGTCCAATGTATCCAAGTATCAAGGATAAGCTGTAGCTCTGTATTTACAGCTACCTGGTCAGACAGATGAGCGAGGTTCTGGTTCAGTATGGTGGCATTGAAGATCTGTAGACCCTTGCTGTGTAATACAACCCAGTTTGTATTGTTCTGGACATCAATCTGGATCTGCACTGAGCCAGTGAAACTGAGACTGGTGAGGTTGGGGTGCAGGAGGAGGCGATAGTGAAGAGGAATGATGTACCTACAGAAAAGATATATGCATTGCTTTTTTAATCAGAGACTCAAAAACAGAGGTCCAACAATTTTTGTCATCATTTTTCCCTTATTGCAAAGTCTACCTTGGCAGGCGAAGACGGCTCCAGGGGAAGGACAGTTTATCGGTACCCAAAGGAGATTGTTCTCCTGGAGGGCTTGACGCCTGTTGTGAACTGTTGGGCTGACACCCAACTAGACACACATGAAATAGAGACAGCGCTAACAGCCTTACCAAGACCATTGTGGGGGAAGTGTCCTTCAACCACTGATTAAAAAATTTAAAAAAAGGCTAAATGGGGAGACAGGTTGACAGGTAGTACTGAAATCACTCAGTCACATCCCAAACACAGGGAGCGACTAAGGACCACCTGATGTGAGTGTTGGACACTGATATGGCTGGAGCAAAAACGTCAGTCAGGTTCTCAGGACTTCTTCTTAAACCTGAAAGACATTAGTGGAGGAGTAAGGACACACAGATTCTCTTAAAGGGCACAGTATTCATTCAGACAACGTTATTATTCTGCCCTCGGCCTAGTAGAGATCTGTTAATGCTTTGCTTCCTCCAGCCAGGTTTATCCTATGGTCACGATCTTCACTTAAAAACTATGGCAAAAAATAAAAGTACTGTTTACTTCTTCCTGAAATGACTTTTCACTCACTTCCCTGAATCAGACTCTCATTTACTGGCCCTTGCTCACACAGCACAGCAGGCTGCTACGCGTTTGACTGGATCCTAGCTTTGATACTTAGAGGAAGTGTTCTAGACACATGTTCAGTTCATTCTGGCGAACTGAGATTTGTTAAAGTGTTAGGCCACAACACAACTCATGCTAAAGGAGACTCAAACATGTGACAGACGGACCACATGATTTTCCATGCGGATGAAACAAGGTGAGGACACAGCTATAACTGTGAGGTGACAACAGCTGCAGGAGCATAACTGCAGTTCAAATCAGGCAGCACATGCAGCAGTTCCTGTTCTACCACACTGAAAGGAGGAAGCTGTTATTTACAACAACCTATGATTTGAGAAACATAACTAACTGCGTTACAGCTAATACAATAAAGCTTGTCGTGTGATTGCTGCATAGCTCATATTTAACAGAAATGTCAGAAAGCTTTACCTCAGTCATTTCAGCCTCATCATCCTTCCTTCATGTTCCTGCTGGTGACTTTCACTTTCTCTTTTAAGCTCCCGCCCACTGCCTCTGCCAGAGTGTGTGTGTGTGTGTACTTGTGGGAGTGTGTGTATTTGAGAGAGAGAGGAAGATAATGTAGAGAATGTAGCTTCACATGGTGCCTTTGTTAAATAATGTCTTATGTAATGTCTTTTCCAGCTAATGTTAGAGGATACAGATGCTGATGTTAGTATAATGTGTAACTAGAATGGTTGAGGTGATCAGGTCAGGTGGTTAATATCAAACCTACACTGGAGCATTTACAATGAAAAGACAGCTGTCCTCACAACAGTTTCTCTCCTCAGTGTGTGTGTGCTGATGTAGTGTGTGTGTGTGTGTGTGTGTGTGTGTGTGTGTGTGTGTGTGTGTGTGTGTGCAGGTGTACCCTACAAGAGTGTTGTCTAATGTTCTGGGTGCGTTGATATGATCAGTTTCTCACCTCAGATCTAACAGCCGGGGGCAGGTGTGTCTCCAGTTGTTCAAAATGACTCGTCACTCCCAGCGTCCACATAAATGTCCTGTCCTCAGTTTCCTCCTGTCTTCATAAATACAGATAACCTTTCACATGTGCAGGAGCTCACACTGTCTCCCTTTCTCTCTCCTTCTCAGAGTGTGTGTTTCAGTTTGCGTGTTGGGACGGAGTGGGGGCATAGAGGAGGGGGTAGCATTGTTAGTATAAGGTCGCCAACAATGAGGCATGTCGATCCCCCATAATGCAATGCTCCTGGCAAATCCAAACGGCATGCCCCCATTTCACACACACAGTAGGCGCACAAACACACACACTCACACTCACACACTATCACATCAGCCCCTCTGACTAAAGCAGACATGACTGAGCCATCCAGGGGTCTGTTTTACCTTCCTATCATCTATTTATGGACAGGTAAGAGCTTTTAATCTCTGAAACGTGATCCTGGTTTTATGTTTTGGATCAGTGAGCAAGAAAGTGCTGCAGCATTGTTCAGTAAAAACCTTATACATACAAAATATTGCCTGCCTTTACAGGGGGAATTTTACAGTTTGGGTTTCTAGCTGTCACGTAATAAGGTTAAATGTATCTTTATTGTTATTATTATTATTATTTTATCATTTTTATCCTAATTTTGTATTCCTCTTCATGATCCTCCATCCTCCACCTGGGTCAGGTGGGGTAGAGGGTGATGTCCTGGCATCTCTGGCCCATCCGGTCCACCTGTCAGGGGAAAGGCTCGGCTGGACCCTGCTGGTTTGTATGGTTAGTGACTTCAGGAGGGGGCACCTAGAGGTCAGCTGGAGCTCACCATCAGAAGGCCACATGTTCACTGCACCAAACAGCATTGCTCTAAACAGGAAGCATCGCGGCCACAGTCCCGTGGCGATAATCACAGTGGTGACCAGTGACTGGCCATCGTACAGTTGCTCCGTGAGTCGCAGACGACACCCAAAAGTCACCAGGAGACACCGCATCACCTCATCAGGTGGGACTGAAGCAGATCACATGTGAAAATATCAGTCTTATTGTTTTTTACAAACCCTTTAACACATTTTTATCATTTCCGATGATCAAGACAAGCTTTGCTATGAAGATGAAGAGACAGAAGGTAAATTTTACTCATTTGCAGTTTCCAGTAAAAACAAAAACAAAAAAAAAACTATTCTCCGTGACACATTCTGCACAGATGTTGATCCTCATGTCGGTCTGTGTGGTCTCTAGACGTTGATGTGTGGACAAACACGGTGGTCATACTGGCCATGAGGCTGCTTCTCATGAAGATCATCGTCTTCAACACTCTGATGACCACTTACGCTGTTATTAAGTGGTAAGAGTCTATGAGCATTAATTAGACCAACATACAGCACATGTACACTTGCAGATAAGTGTGGCATCATTCACTGTTATACATGTTGTATAAGTACATACAGTATTATGTCTAAAAGTGCTTGAACTTGTTTTATTCATCATAATTGAATTACATTTTTTTTCATATGACAGTAACAGTGTATTTGATTTTTCAGATGAATGGAGAGCTTCTGCTGTGTGACCTTGAAAAAAAAAAACTAACCCGGAGAGGGGAACTTTTTCTTGTCTGAATCTATACAGTGAGGATTTGTGCACTGGAAGATGATATGTTCCTGTGGTCTTACACAGAGCTTTTTGGAAGGTCTCATGGATTAAATGGGAAAGTATCCACTGTCAGGATCGCAGGAGAAGCAGCTCTCAAATGCTACAAATCTTTTGTCGCGCCATTTTCAGCCCTTCAGAACTGACATCCCAGGTGTTGCTGACTGTGGCAGTTGAAAACAGATTGTGTTTGCGAAGCCAAACTTGGTATCTGTTCAAAACCTAACCTCAGACAGATGGGTTAGTGCACATACTGTACAGATGTGTGTGTCTGTGAGTGAGTGAGTGAGTGAGTGTGCTTCTGTTTGTCGGGTCTAATCTTTAACTCTGAATTCCTTGAATTACTAAAACATTTCTAGTGAAAACTTGGCACAACGTTTTTTGGAAGTTTACAAATAATAAATAATTTTACATTTTTAGTAGGCCTATCCATGTTTTGCTTTTTATATTCTTGTAAATGTAAAAGTAATAAACAGCAAGTAAGCTTGATCATTTTGACTTTATTGTTTTTTAAATAAAACACTTGCACACAGTTTGTTTCCTCAATTTTTTTCTTTTTCTTTTTCTTTTTTTTTTTTTCTTTTTGAGCGCCTTGAGTAACACACTGACATAGCAACAGAGCACCACTAGGTGGCAGTACAATCACATCTGACATTTTTTTAAATTATTATCCAACAGCAAGAATATGGAGCTTAACTTCCCCTACAGGACACTACGTTCATAAATAAGTTAAGTATTTCAACACTGACCAGTCACTCTTCACCAAACTGACACTCACACATGATGTAAGAGATCACAATGCCAAAAAACTGAGATTAAGCTTATATGGCCAAAAAAGTGGGGCACAGTTATACAGAATGTTACATGTTAAAAAAAAGCTCATAGTTGTAGGGATTAACATTTCTACCAGGTATCAAATGGCATTCATTTCCCACGACACAATGCTGAAGTATGTATCCCCGCTGATTCTGTGGTGACGTTTTCTCAGTGATTTGCAGTGTTTTGTCCACACTCCAGTATCTTACACATATCCCATTAAGGAGCAGCTTGTCAATTCTGGCAGTAGGAGGAAAATAGTCTACAGTAGCAAGTTTAAAAACATGGGGAGGGGGGACTGTGAAGAGGAGGAGGAGGAGGAGGAGAAGGGTGCTGGTTCAGTGGTGAGTTATGATTTCCTTTCTACATAAAAAATCATACATCATCTGTCTTTGGCTCAAATGAAAACAACAAAGTTTACGCTGAGTAACAAACATGAGCCAGTATCGTCACAGCCTCTTGAAAAAAAGGTGGAAATACCATGATTTTCAGAAGAAATAAAAACACATTCAAACATGTCACCAAAACTGGTAAAAAAAAAAAAAAAAAAAAAAACACTGACGCATGCACTCACGCTCGCACACACGCACACACATATTTGAAATCAGAAAAAACAACAAATTCATACAGCAAGAAAATAGTACTGATGGCATTTGCTGTGACAATATTCATAATACATTCAACAGAAAAACTCACATTGACTGACTTTAAATGAGGCGCTGAGTCAAATCAGCTACTGGAAGAATGATGCATTTTAACAAAAATGGCAGCTCCTTGTAATGTAACTGACTTTTACTTTGAAAGGATCAAAAACGAAATTATAGTCTCCAAAACTTGAGCAACTGGAGGTTTTGGTGGAGGAGAGTAAATGGGAAGAAGAAACACTGATGTGGATTTGTTAAAAAAATAAAATAAAATAAAGTGCTTCTGTTAAAACAAACATCCTCTGTCTGAGTTATCAAAGAAAAATCACATCAAAGTCTACGCCATTACACTGTGCACTGAAGACAAAATGAACTATTTACAGTCTGGAGTGTATATCCACATACTCAATTCACCCACACAGGAATGTTTATGTCAATTGTGTGTGTCCAAAGATGAAGACAGACAGCGTAAGCCGTCATCACAGCTCCTGTGTTTTTTTACCTCCAGAGGGCAGATTCTGCCACGTAAGATGCAGTTAGTGTCACCAGTATCCCCTGTGCCCACTGGGAGATCTGCCACCTCTTCTACAAAAACATCTAGTTCCCAGTAACTGTCCAGCCTGCTGTTTCCTCTCTGCATGAGAGAGGAATCAGTGCTCAGTATCAGTGCTCGGCAAAAAACTCTCTTTCTAGTGCACACACATACACGAGCCCACTCACAAGCAGGCATACATAAAGACTCCAACTCCTGCTAATACATCAATGCCACACTCAAAGCACACAGCAGGAGCAGAGTGAGCCTTTTGATTGGTTGACAATCAGAGTTTAAGGTGGAGGTGGCGGAGCCACGGGGATAAATCCTCCATCTATCCCGGTGTGGGTGGAGACTCTCCATGTCCTTCTGGGCACTGTAAGCCGCCACTGTGAAATTAGCATCCCCGGTGGTCAAGAGATCAAACACGCAGGAGTGGAAGTAAATGTCTGGCTCCTCCAGCTTCTCCCTGCAGCGTTCCTTTGCCCCGTCCACACCGAAAACCTGCGGGGTACCGTAGGGGTACGCTTGTGTCTGTGAGGCGTAGCTGGGCCGACGTAGCTGCTGAAGCTGAAGGCCAAGCGCAGGAGGGGAGAGGGGCAGGGGAAGATGCCCTGCCTGGTCGATGCGCTCTCCGCTGGGGCAGCCGTTCAGACAGAGCTGCAGGTCCTGGGTGGCATCGTAGGCCTGAGCCAGCTCCTCTGGGATCCGCACTGCCAGGGTCAGGTAGCGGCCCAGCTGGCGAACAATTACAGTCACACCAATGTAGCCAGCATGCAGCTCCACGTGGTGCCCCGGGGTGCGCTCAGAGATCCACAGAGCCCGGACCTTCCCGGCTGCCCCGTCTGCACCAGCAAAAGTGTGGATGGGGTCTCCACTGCTCACGGTGCCATCATCAAAAGCAGCAGGGAGGTTGTCTGTGACGGCCTGGTAGACCCTCTGGTCTGTGCAACCCTCATAGGGCTTGAAGATGATGGTGATCTATAGAGCAGGAGAGAGGGAGCATCAGATAAGTTGTAGAGATATTTTAAGTTCAGTGAATGAAGTGCATTTAAAAATGCAAGAGACAGTTCGCAGTTACAAAGTCAATTCATTAGATACAGGACAAACACAACTTTCATCAAAGAGCCGAGTTGAGCTGAAACAGAGTTTAAGTACACAGTTTTACATCTTTTGGATTTTTCCTGCTGATTGGACAAACATTCTACTCTGGAGACTTTACTTGGGGTCAGGGAAATTGTGACGGTCAATTTCACTATTTTTTGACATTTTAAAGACCAAATGAGTAATTGATTATTCAAAAAATTATCAGCAAATCAATCAATAATGTTAATAATCGCAATTGCAGCCCTAATTCATTGTTTAGTGGGTCAACAGAATTTAATTGGCAACTAATTTAATAACTGGTTTTCAAGCAAAAGAAAATCCTTCTGTGGTGAAGGTGTCATTAATCTGTTAATCAAGAAAAAAAATCACCAGATTAATTGATTATGAGAACTATCAGTGGTTACAGCCGTAGGTAAAAAGTTTCTCTCACACTCACACACACAAATATTAACATTCACCTACACAGGTTATTGACTCTTATCGCACGACATTTGAGAAATGACTTAATGACTTTTTAACAAGTTGTAATTTGACACAGCTATACAAACATGCTGACACATGCACACACACACACATACACATAAAAACACACGGGGCCCCAGTGGTGAATGGAAGCAGTGGTGGATACAGGGTGTGGTGTGAGCATTACGGTTAGCACTAGCATCATAGTTCCGGTGAATGGCTGCTTTGTTCACATGACAGCTGTGAGGAATGAGGCCTGGCAGGCCATTAAGCCTGGAGGGCTGTTAATGTGTGTGTGTGTGTGTGTGTGTGTGTGTGTGTGTGTGTGTGTGTGTGTGTGTGTGTGTGTGCGTGTGTATAAGAGAGTGTGTGTGTGTCCGTAATAATCATGACTAATAACTTGCCCCACCTCTGACACAAGGTTAGACCTTCAGCTCCACCGTGTAGCAACCCTACTGTTTGCTTAATATGTGTGTGTGTTTCTGCCAATGAGTGTATGACTAAGTGTATGTATGGGTGTGTATGTGCTTTAATAATTAAAGCTATCGACTCAACTAGAGAGGGTAGATCATCGGGGGAAACATCAACATCGCTTCTTTAACACCACAAAGATCACCTTGTGTGGCTCGTCATCCATTTCGTAGAGTGTGTGTGCGTGCGTGTGTGTGTGTGTGTGTGTATGTGCTTGTAAGTACAAGTGTATCATTTTTGTCGTACAGGGATAAGGACCTTTAACACACACAGTGCTTTAAGCTTAGTGTAAGGAGTGCCACTTATGAGACACACACGCACACACAAATACTTGCGAACACACACATGAGTAAACAGTAGGTCCTTTCACACATCTCATTCCATGTTATTAGAGGTCATGCTATAAGCAGCCATTAACCAAGTTAGGTTTCCAACACTGCTTCAGTCAAATAAGACAGTCACAAGATCGGGCTGTTTGCCTCACATCTGTGAGTGAAAGACACAGAGAGAGCGAGGCGGGAAGAGAGAGGAAAGTAGAGCATGGAGAGCAAGGGTGTTTTCCAGGCTCACACTGATAAGATTTCCTTCTCTGAAACACAGAAAAGCAACTTAGAGGTCATTATAGAAAATGTTTCTCTCTGACACACACACACACACACACACACACACACACAGAAATAAACTAAATTACACCAGCTGCTCTCACTTAGGAAACTCTTTCAGCCTTAATGACAGTAAATTAGACCCCAAAAAGCCCACTTCTCTCTGCTCCCCCCTTTGCAACAGCTCTCCTCTCACCTTATTGGTTGCCGTGGCACTCGAGCCAGGTACCACGGGAACATTAGTGACCTGCACCGACAGATAGTCATTATCGATGAGAGGCCACGCCCCCTCCACCTTACAAGTCTGGAAGCTGTCCTTAAATGTCCTCAGGTGTGGGTCCCCAAACAGCCCGCAGAATAGGTACCCAGGCTGAGAGTGGCTGTGGCCATGGCCGTGAGCATGGGCGTGTGTGTGTGCATGCACGTGGGAGTGTGTGTGGGCGTGCTGGGTGCGACTGTGGTAGCTGCACGGCTCGGGGTGGACCTCGGGGTGCGTGGAGGAAGTGGGCCCGTCTCTGGAGCAATTCCTCTGGCTCATGAGGTCTGAGATGCCCAGCACGGCCGAGTGGAAGACCAGGTTCCCCCGGCAGGACTTGGCTGTCCTCTGGGTGCAGGCCGAGTACGCACGTAAAGCTTTGCAAAATTCAGTGTGAAAGCCATCCACAGCCGGCGTCAGGTGGGAGGTCAGGGAGACGAAGTCGGTGGTGCACTTCTGGATACGACACTGAGGGGTGGCCACTTGACACTGACCTGGAAAAGACACACAGAGAGTCAGAAATACTGCAAGAGAGAAACATACACATCTCATAATTTAGGCAGGAATGAGACTGAGAGCTGGCTCTCACGAGAAATGGAAAGTTGATGTGCTCACTGAAGACAACTACGGCTACTGTCTGAAGAAGGCTTTGATCTTAAACACACAATGCCACCAGCCTGTTACAATCCAGCCCAATACAGATGGAAAAAGAACCAGCCGCTGGTTCAAAGTCTTGATCAATCAGCAGAGCTGCTCTGCGAGTGTAATAAACCTGAAGTGTAATAAACCAAAGAGCAGCCAGAGAGAAAGATAAAGAACATTTTCCCACAAGCCAAGGATAGACAAATCTTCAACACATAAGGTATGGTAGCCAGAGATAACTTGACAATACAGCGTTTGCTTTGCATGCATACACACTACCATGATTCAGTAAAACTTATCTTTGTTCACACTTTTTTGTAGATTAAATTCTGTTGTCATTTTTGAGGCAGTTGTCTTTGTGCCTGTCCTGCATAACAGCAACACTGAAAATAATACACAATCAAAATTTCCCTTTATCAAATATGACTTTAAGTTATGTTGTTTTTTTTTTTTTTGGCAGATTAATGTTTGTTTACAGCTATAATCATGATCACCAGAGCAGGCTGAAGTACGGAAATGCATCCAAAAGACTGATTATTCTGTCCTCCGAATGTTCTGAACGTAACAAGGGTCAAACCAGCCTTTTATATCATAGATCATCAGAGAGAGAGAGAGAGAGTTGGAGCGAGAGAGAGATTAGAGACCATACCTAATGCATCAGTCACAGCATGCTCCTATTAGATTAGGCCAGAGAGAGAGGCTCTGCAGTGTATGGGCAGCTGCACACACGCGCACACACGCACACACACAGACACACACACACACACATACACAAATAGCTATCTTAGAAAGAATGCTGGTTGTGCTTCTGTTAAACGCACACAGTCTGTGATCCTCAGATGGTGGTATGATCTCCTAATGGCCAAGCAAAAGCAGAAAGTGCATGGTTTTTAGCGAAATCAACAGATTCCCTTAATGTCACACCATCACTTAACAACCATAAGTAGCCACTAACACATAAACACGCACAAGCAAAACAGCACATTCCAGTTTTCTTCTTTGTACATTTATTTGATTTTTGGGGCATGAAGGAGTTGGGTGCCACCATTTGGGGGCAGTAGTGTTCTGAGTTTTAGAAAACAGGGTGCAGGTACGGACCCCCACTCACACCATGCTTCAGAATCTCTCTCCAGCCCGTTAAATACTGACACCACAACCCACAGACACACACACATACACAGGCTGCCTTCCATGCCAACCACCACTGTACAGACGGTCTGAGCACTGAGGACACATTGTGTCTTTGACTGGCGCACCGAAAACGCCTCCTTCTCTCCCTCCTATCTGCCCTGCAGTACCTAAATACCGCTTCCAATCTAATCAGAGTGGGTTTATTCTCTTTCAGAGGGTATCGGAATCATGAGCCGCTCTGAAAACGCACAAAAGCGCTCATTCACTGACACTGTCCCCAGCAGGGTGACGTAGCGAAAAGGGAGTTGACCCTGTAACTGAAGGACTCGGGTTCAAACCGCTGACTTATACAAAGGTTAAAACTTCTCTGATGACATGGCATCTGATGAAGTTTCACACCAGCTCCCTTTGCGCTGCTCTATAGCCCACGCCGCACTCTTTCCTTCCTGTGAACGCATCAAGCAAACAGGATTTTCATATGATGTTCTTCAAGGCTTCCCGTGATCTCCCTGTAGTGAGGCCGTCCTCTTTACGTGCTCTCTATAAGTATTCCGCAGCTGTACTTTCAAAAGAAAATCTATGCATACACATAAGAAATTTGTGGTAAATAGAGCCGAGGTGATGAATACTGAATTGACTTGAAAATAGTGTGAAGAAGAGAATAAATAACTCCTCTTGTGAGGGCTGTTCAACACACTCAGATCCTGGTTTGTTTCATCCCCCGGGGCAAGAATCTAATACAGACACAATAAAACAGTCAGCAATGCCCACACCACGTCCTACCATAATATCAACCTCTCCTTTTCACTCCATCCCCCTCTCCCAGCTGACTTCATCATCTCACTGGTCTCGTCTCTTCTTTTCTCTCAAGCTTCATCTGTTCAGATCTGATTTTTTTTTTTTCCCCTCAGCTTGAATCATTTGCTTCCATCAGCATTACTCTGTTTTCAGCTGTCAGCCCTCTCCGCCCGATTCCCTGCCCAGTCTCCTCACCCCCCCGGTCGTCTCTCAGCCTCTCTTCTCCGCATCCTTAGGCACCTTCTCTACCATCAGACAGAGGTCAAAAGCTCCACCAGCTGAATCTCGCAGGTTTAGCGATTCTTTGTCTCCCTACCAGGCTGCCTCCAACCTCTCTGATCTCCAGAGATCAGAAAAGGATCTACTGGGATCATCTCTCAACCGAGGGAATGGCTTGTGAAGTGCTTATTGATCACCTTGTTGTGTGCACTCTCTCACACACTGAGCTCAAATCACACAAACAGCCCTCCAAGCTTAGAGATACAAAGCTTTACAGGAGCTCACTACAGCCTGCACTCCTTTCTCTCTATTTCTCTCTCTCTCTGTCTCTCTCTCTCTCTCTCTCTCTCTCTCTCTCTCTCGACTAGACACTGCGAACAATAATCAACAATTTGGACGTTCCTGCCTTCCAGTCTAAACAGACACATGGGGCTGACAGCTGGAGTGACAGTGAAATGGATATAAATATCCTGAAATGTGCAAGTTATAACAAATAAAACATTGTGTTTGGCTAAACAGACTAAATAATACACATTCTTTCCAGGTGACGCACATGTAACAGAAAGTGCCAGGAGGGTCTTTAATGTGAAGTGGGTCTCTCTGTTCCCACCAGGCTGCGTGCAGGGGCGGTTTTGTCCCGCTGCCTGAGCCGTGTTAAACTAATTACTGGAGGTGTGACTGCTCAACAGACAGCCGCCACAACAGCCAACCCCCTGCACACATAGCAACACTACACACTTGGCCAAAAAAAGAAGAAAAAAAAGAAAGAAAAAAAAAAAAGATTTGACTGCTTTTTGCACCAAATGAGAAATGCATCTGTCTTCACTAAACATAACCAAATGAATTGTGAATGAAATGTGATAAATAAGGAGTTAGTAAATCCTGAAGTCACTGTCAGTGATCCTTACAAACACCTTATTAACCTTTGGCTTTCAGCGAACACACTCGTCTTTTGTTTATATCTCTGTTTTATTTTTGATCTAGCATTTGGCTCAGACTGAGATGTGTGAGTTTCTGCTTTCGGTGATGATCAGAAGACAAACAAGCACCAATACAAAGAAACTGCTGTTCAGAAAAGCACTTACTTTATCTCTTTTCCCTTTAAAGAGTCTAGCTTGTGTGACTATAATCACTTTGATACTGTTTCTTATGATGCATTTAATTATTGACATCATCCAACTGGCCATAAACTGTACTCCACAATAGATTTTGTAGGATTTACAGCACATCACAGCCTCTATCTAAACTTTTTCTGATTACATCCACACTCAGATAGATAGAGTATAACTGCAATCTGTTATATAGCTATGGATATAAGAGGTAGTCACCCTCTCTTCCCTTCTCTTCCCCTCCTCCATGAGCCATTAAGGGGCAGACAGGAGAATGACGGCCCAGGAGAGAGGAGGAGAAACTCGATCCGTGCTCAGACTGCTGCACTGCCGCTGGAGAGAGAGCCATTGTCAGGCAGCTCTGGGCCTAACACCAGGATCGGCAACACAGTGATTGCAATCGCTTAATAACCAATAAAGTAGCTCCGATGACTGTTAAAGGCAACAGACTGAAAATAAAATATAGTTTCTGAGGCTGTAGTTGCAGCAGCGCACAGCAATTAGTGCGAAACTGGACAAAAAAGTGCGTAAAATCACAGATGAGTTGCGACTATGACCGAGAGACGTTTCGTGGATGCAGTGTTTAAGTGTAGTTTGTTACCTATGTGGGCACCGCAGCAGAGAGCGATGATCAGCAGCAGCACTGGCCGGAAGCGGCGCACCAGAGACGGGGAGGCGAGGCGCTCAGCCCCGCGGCAACAGCATCCGGCTCTCCCCATCCCCGTCCATGCAGGGCCAGGAGGGGAGAGTGGACAGACCTCCAAAGGGCGAGGAGGGGTGGTGTCCAGGCCTTCTTACTTCTTCTTCTTCTTCTTCTGCCTCTTCTTCCTCACTCTTCTCTCCTTCCTCTCCTCCTCGGGTGCGCAGGGGCATTAAAACACAGCTGCTCCGCGGAATGCAGGGCGGAGGGGGGTGGAAAGGCAAAGAGAGGAGGAGAACAAAGTACAACCAGAAGTCACTCCGACGACACTTTTACTTTTTCCCTGTACAAATCCACACCCCCACGTGATTTAAGAGCGCTCCCTCCGCGGTCGGACTTTTGCCTTGATTGTGATCACTGTGTGCTCTCCTCTCTCTCTCGTCCCAAACACGCACGATCACATCTCCCTCTCTCTCTCTCTCTCTCTCTCTCTCTCACTCTCTCTCTCCCTCTCCCTCACTCTCTCTCTCCCTCTCCCTCATTCTCTCTCCCTGCCTCACCAGGCCGGGGTTTCTCCTCCACTCCTCCCCTTTCACTTTCTTCTCCTCCTCCTCTGCCCCACCAGCAAATCAATAGAGAATCAACCAAACCCTGCTGGCGGAAAACCCGCCTACAAAAACTCACAGAGAGAGAGAGAGAGAGAGAGAGAGAGAGAGAGAGGGGGGCCAGTCTGCAGAATAATGAAGAGGCCGGAGATAAAAGTTGTAAAACGTTGGTAAGATGCCATTAAATCACTGTGTACAAAGAAGAGAATAATGGGTTTCCGATGCAGTGCTGCCAAGGCATTTTATATGGCAGAGTCAAAGCTGATCAAGACAAACCAGAGCTTGTAGGAAATCACTATATTTTTCTTTCTTTTCTCTTTTTTTCTTTTCTCCTGTTTGCTTTCCTGCAGCAGCAGCAGCAGCAACGACAGTGACGATAGTTGTTGCAAAGTTCGGGTTTTCGATTTACATGTAATTATAAAACTTTATTTTATAATTAAAAAAATATTCAGCTTTAAATGTGTTTTCTGCAGAAAGAAGAAATACAGTCTCATTGTTTAAATGAAAACGCTTTTTTGAATTATATTTTTCAGCTACCGTTAATACACATTATTTTGTATTATCACCAAAATAATACCATAATCTGAAGAGTGACTTGAAATATCATAAATTTTAATGTACAATGATTCCTCTCTGCCGATGATATTAATCTGCCGCATCAAACCTTGGATGTAGTTGATCCACTGAAGAGAAGAGCTGTGTTGTCGGAGAAAATGTAATAAATTGGGGGGCGTTCACTATCAAATGGGTAACTCCATGTTTGAAATCTCGTTATATGTTTTCCGATGAAACCCTCTGAGGATGGCGCATCACATTTTTAACTTTATGCCAGATAATTATGTTGCAGTTGGAGGGAGCTGTGCACCGACCTTCCTTTCTTTCTGCTGAGGACGGGAACAGAGCAGAACAGGGTGTGAAGGGAGCACCTCTGTGACACAAAAGCGTCCAGACACAACAACACACAGACACACCAAACAGCTCAAAATATGCACAGTCAAACAAAACAGCAGAAGGCACAAGGAGAGCAGACAGTGTAAACACAGCAATGACAGACAGTGAATACTGAACACACAGCTGTATATGCAAAACAGCCTCTACCTTGCTGTCACTCCTGTTCACCCCACCTACAGCCAGCTATAATTCATAAATGAATAACTTAACACCCACTTTCTGGAGGCTGTTGAAATTCATTTTAAAACTTTCTCTTGCAAAGAAGTTGAACCGGATCCAAACCTCCCTTTTTCAAGTAAAGGTTATGGAGTTGGACAGGTTTCAAAGCAAGCACCGAGGCATTTTAGATAATTTTTTACTTACTGTGCTTATCTGCACTGTGTTTGTTCTTTTAATACTTTGTATTCTGCCGGGAGAGTGAGTGTGTGAACTACATTCTGCCAGATTGTGTCACCCTGTCTTAACTTGTATGCTAGTGTATGTGCATATGTGCGTATATGAGTGTGTGCATGAGTGTCTCCATTGCAGAAAACAGAGCTTCTCTGTGGCTGATGTTTTATGTGCTGCGTGTGTGTCATAGCCAGGTAGTTTCACTACTAATATGACTCAACTACAGTATATACACACTCACTCACACCACTGCCGGCCATAAGTTTGGTCATGGCCACTCGTTCCTTCTTGATTGTGTCAGTAAAATAAACACACAGTCACTATACAGCTCATGAGGGTTTGACAGTAAGTGTGGCCAGCTGAGATGATGTGTGCACCTCAAACAGGCTCTGATATTAGATTATATTGACTTCCTGTTTGTGGCAGAAGCCTCTGATCTCACCAGTGAGGACGTCCGCATGTGTGTGTGTGTCTGTGAGTGAGGAAACCTCACCAGATGTTGTTGTATTGTAGTAAACATATATGTGTGTGTATTTGTGCCTTTAGCCCTGGAACAGGTTAACACACAGACAGGAAATAAATGAAAAAAAGGAATGGTGAAACATGCTTCTGTATGTTCGATTAGCAGTGGTTAAAAGTAACTAATCTACTTAAGTACTGTACATAGTTTTAGGGTAATTACATTTCCCTTTGATGCCATTTTATTCTTTTACTGTGCTATATTTTAGAGGCAATTATTGCACTTTTTACTTCACTCTATTCATTTGACAGTGTAAGTTAAGAGTTACCTTTCTTACAAAACAAATAATGATACTATAAGACCATTCAAAAGAACCATTCTTTAAAATAAGGACGTTTGCTTTAGATACTCCAGGACTTATGCCAATGATGTATTTTATGACTATAAAAAGGGGCCCTTTGCTGCATATTCAATTCATTTCCTTTTATATAGTTTAGTATCAAATAAAAAGGCACAAAAATGCTCCAAAACTCTTTAAAAAGATTTATTTTTTGCCCTCACAGTCACCAGACCTTAACCGGTTAAAAACCTATGGGAGATTTTGGGCCAGCGTGTTTGAAAGCAGTCTCCACCACCATCATCAAAACACAGAATGAGGGAATATCTTTCAGAAGAATGGTGTTCATCCCCACAGCGGAGTTCAGTTGAAGCAGTTTTTTAAGCAGTTTATTCAGTCCTACTGGTGCAACACCCCGCTGAGACACTTATTGCTGTTTAACTTTAATTTTGCCACCCAGCTCTACATCCTGGACACCAACTATTGGGACCGGAATTAAAACAAGCAGCGTTTGACAGCCTCTCTGCCCAAGCTGTCAACCTGCCGTGCACCTCTCTGCTGGATGAGGCTCACTCGTTGAACATTTCATTTGTGCTAACACTCTGAACACAGGGTGGTTAATTCAATTACATGTATGCATATGGTGCTATTTATCATGGCTAATTTCATATTTCATTCCAATCATACATCCATCTGCATAGACGCACACACACACAGAAACCTTGGTAACATATGACCCTATTAATGCAGTTTAATTCTATATTTCATACTAATTCATTTAATCAATTACAGCACAGCTGAGCCCGGGGAGCAGAGGGCCCTGAAACTAACTAATCTCTTGCCACACGCACACACACGCACATACACACACACACACACACACACACACACACACACATCTCCATAGAGCTGCTCTGCCTAGTTACACATGCATTCATACACAGCGCCTCGGGCACAAAGACAGTCTGTTTCTGAACGTCCAGCTTGTCTTCACCTCCACACCTCTGCCTCCCTTCTCCACTTCTCTCCACACCTCCCCCTCACCCCACCCCAACTCCAAACAGGCCGTCATTCAACAAATGGCTCTCGCAACTCCATAGTACTCGTGTGTGTGCATGTATCGAATGTGTGTGCCAGAGTGTGTGAATGTTGAGGGTTTGCATTGTTGCAAACATGTCAAAGGCTGTGTTTAGGGAAGAGGAGATGTTGCAATGAATCTCTTACTATCTGTCTCACTTTCAGCAAATATTATGGAGTAGTTATTGTTTATATTATTGCATTATTATTACTGATGTATTTATGTGTAAGTAGCATTTTACTTTTGGAGCTGGTCAAGGGTTTTCAAAGCCAATTCTGCAAGACCTGTTAGCATAGTAAGAGGATCTGAACTTGTCCCAAGGACTGTATCCCTACACAAGTAAGGCCCATTGCAGAACTACAATTATGAAAAATCAAACTTAAATTGAGAAAATATTAAAAAAATATGCAAATAATGCATTGATCATTTGCATTGATTTGAAAATAGGCCGGAATATTCTTACTGCACCAGTGGGTTTCTGATCAAAGTTTTTGATAAATTAAGAGGTTAGGAGCCAATCCCAAACTCAAATGACTTGATAAGAAGGGACTTTGTGCATGGAACAGATGTGTCATAATTTAAAAGGGGATCATATGTTTTGTACTGAAAATCTTAATTAGTAAAGTAAGTAACTAATGCTCTTAAATAAGTAAAAAGTACCTTGTTTTGAAATGTAGTAAGCAGAGGTATAAAATAGCATGAAATGTACAATTTTGTATAAGTTGTACTTAAATATAGTACTATGCTTCGTACATTCCACCACTCCACAATACGCTGCATTCACTGTCAGTGCCAGTCTCCACAGCGCACACACAAAAATCCCACACAGGCTGCAGGTGTGTGTGTGTGTGTGTGTGTGTGTGTGTTTATATTCCTGATTTGAGATGATAACATAAAAGATAAAAAACCAGGTATCACAGCCTCTCGTAATGCAAGTGGAAACCTAATCCTATAATAGCCTGTTTTCTAGCTGTTTCTCTGCCCGGCCAAACTCATGTTGTGTTTTACCTGAGTTGGTCTTATCAGACCGTTCTTTGTCTGCACGTTCACTCCACTGTTACAAAGAGAAGCAGAGAGAGACCGAGGCTGGTCTCAGGTGCCTCCATGCAAAATGTGTCAGAGTGGGAAAAGCGAGAGCACTTATCTTGGGGTTAGTTTATCTTTTAAAACGCGGAGGAGAAATGTAGCGTCATCAGAGCACTCAGATCAGTGGGAGAGGATTCCTTTAACGCAGGCCAGAGAGGGAGATTATCACATTGATCCTTCTCTTCTTACGCTCTCAGCCCCAGTCTCTTTTTCCCTGACCAGCCCGTTGATGTGCATTGATTGACTGGTGCTGACGTAAAACCTAAATATTATCATGACTCTACAGTTTAAAATAGAAATAGAGGAAAGTAAATAAGTATAGCAAATAATCATGACGGAGCTTGTTCTCCAAACACATTTCTGTCACTTTACCTTTCTTTCTTCTCTTTTATCGTGCTCTTCATCATCCCCTTATTACCACTGTTGTTTTTTTTATGTATCTATTAGTGGAAAGTATCTCAGTACATTACATAATTGTTGTAGTTTGGCAACATTTTGAAGTACTTGTAC